CCGGGGTGGCGGTGGTGGCCCTGGGGGCAGCAGTGCACGTGGTCGGGGCAGCAGACGGCCTGGGGGGGCGAGAAGGGGGGGCTGAGCCCAGCCTGGACCCCCGGGGACCCCCGGCTCCAGGCCCGGGCACCAACCCTGCCCCCTCCCTGCCTGTTCCTGCCCTCCCTTGTCCCCTGTCCCCCCATCCCAGCCTGGCTCCATCCTGCAGGGGTGAGGGGGGATATGGGGACTCCCACCACCCTCGTTCCCCACCAGCCGGGCACACCAACATCCCCGAGCATCCCAGTGGCCTCATCCCCCTTCATCACCTCCTGCCACTGGAGCCCCAAACTGGTCCCAGTGAGCAGAGAGGATCTAGCAGGTGCAAAGGGGCCTGGTGTCACCCCATCCCCATGGGACATCACAGGGGTGGGAGTCCTGGGCTGGCCACATTTGTCCTGGGGGACTGGGGACACTGGCCCTCATCCCACCCAGGCACAGGGGACATCTGCCTCCATCCCTCCCAGGGGAACAGGGGATCTCTGCCCTCGTCCTTCAAGGAGCAAGGGGACATCAGCCATTGTCCCACCGGGGGCACAGGAGACACCTGCCCCATCCCGTGGGACAGGGCTGGGTCTGTCCCGGGGCACAGGAGGTGGCAGCGTCCACCTGAACGTCCCCATGTCCCCAGGGCCTGGGCTCCAGCCACTCGGGGCCCCTCAAGCCACGTCCCCTGCTACAGGGACACCCTGGTGCCCCACAGGTCTCAGCCCAGGTCTCCCAGCTCGCCTGGGTGCAACCCTGCACTGCCCCACGCCACTGGGGACCCCACCACGTCCCTGTCCCCATACACGGACCCCCTGGCCCCGCAGGCAGGGCCCCCCATACCTCCTCCAGCGGGCAGCACCCCCAGGCCCCCGAGCTCAGCCGGCAGCACGTGCTCCCGTCGGGGCAGCTCGTCTCCTCGTCACACTGCACGTTCCCTCCCCGGGCCAGCGCCGGGGTCTTCCGCAGCCAGGGCCGGCGGCCCCCTCCCTCCTGCAGGCAGCTGGCCGTGGCGGGGGCG